CTCCACAGAAGAAGACGTGGTGGTGGCTACCAGGAGTTGACCTGAACCCTGTAATGGAGTCATTGTGTGCTTGTATTGAAGATGCATCCCAGTGTGTGTTAGTGTACTGTCTATATAGCTCATAGCATACATTTTGTAAAGGTGTTTTGTTGAAACTGTGTAGCAATGTTGATCTTATACTGACTGGAAAACCCCCACCATTGTTCTAATTGGCGAGTGGGAATGAGCTAACATAAGCCAGCCACATGCCACACTATGAAGAATAGAGCACTTTGACTCAGCGGAAAGAACGATTAGATACATCAGACGGAGGGGGCAGTGGTGTAATGGCCCTGTCACCATACTGTAGTAATTCTGATACATGGCACTGAATTTAAATCTCGAAATTGTCTACAGTGTCCGCGGTAGGTAAGTTAAGTTTCGGTAAGTTACGTCACAACATTATACATTTACCTCTTCGTCCAGCCAGTCACTGTAGTGAACAATACTGGTCATGACTGCATCAGCCCCCTTCATGTAGAATGTTATCTCACCACTCCCCTTATGCTGAGCAGGGAAAATACACCCTTGGTACAGCACATGCCTAAACTGAAAGACAAACTGTACACCCACTAGTCACAGCATGCGGCAGACAACATGATGCCTTGCCTACTGAGTTGCTCTGAGCACTCTGGCTATATATATAGAGCATGCTGCTGTGGGTTCAGTTCCCTCCCAGGTTTCTTCTATTAAGTGTTGCCCTTGGCTTGCAAGCATAAAGTACATACGACAATGTCCACATAATACACCCCATGGTTCATTCATATACAACTTGCACACACGTGAGCACAGCAAACTCTGCACAAACATGTGTATAATATCACAAAAGAAGCAATAGGTAAAGAGTGCAGTTCCCCAGATGTACTCAACATCTCCCCCAGTCTCACCCTGAGGATGACCCCCATCCTCTTCCTCTCAGAGGTGAAGGGGAACAGCTGGAGGATGTGGTAGATGTCTCTCTCACCTCCCGGGCCCTCTGTGGTCATGGAGGACAGGTCTCTGTCTATCAGAGTCAGACCCACACTCTCTGTCCACTTCACCAGCGCTATCTGTGGGGAGGGCGCATGTATGAACATGTGTATATACTGGTCATACACACATGTGATACCACAAAATTGGCAAGCAAAGCAAGTAATCAACAAATATCCCTTAGTAATTTTGTATTATGTAATGTTATGTAATTAATGTACACATTCTAAGGGTTGAATGTTTATACACCATTTCAACTTATCCATGGCATTATTTTAGGCAAAAACAAATCCTAAGGGTTGAAAAAAAAGCCACCCTACATCTCTCCAGACAGACGTCTATGGACGCAGTGCAATGCCAAACTGTACGCTGTCCTTTGAGATGTACATATGTGGGTCAATGGTAGATTCGTGGGTAAGGGGAGGAACCAGAGCTGTTCCCAGCCAATGCTCTGGACCACCTGTCAGTTTCAGTGCGGGTCCGGGATTCGAACCGGGCACCTTATGTGTCAGTCCCCACGTCTCTAACCACTTAGCCACTTGGGCTGGCCACGAGAGCTGATGAAAAAACGTTCCTCTTATATCAACACTCACATTACATCATTTATAAAAAGTGACCCAGACCGGGATCGATCCTTGGACCTCACGATCCAGAACGTGGGTGCTTATCCATCAGACCACACCCAATACTCGATGGAAGGTTCAATATTGTATAGTAATTTGTTTATCCAGGACTTTTGTCACTAAAGTGCAAACCCTCAGCGTATTTGAAATGTTCACATGCAAGTACTCGCATGTGTGGTACTGGTTGGGCATTGTACTACACTCATGGTCTCTTGCCAGCTAGCTCGCTGAGAGTCTGTCAGCATACAGGGGTCGTCGGTACATGCCCCGCGTTGCACACATATGGTGCCTCCAAAGGTACGCAGAGCAAGTGGACCAGATTGAGGTAAGCCTGGAGAATTTGCAATTTCACTTAGTTTTCACATCGTAAGTCTCAAACACAGTACTTTTACGAAATCCGCCAAATTTAAAATAAAGCCAGTGTAGTGCTGAAGCTTTAATTGTGTATTACTCTTTTGTTGTCTCGTTGCATGTGGTGGCAGAAGACGTTGTAACAGACGGACAGACACACACACGAACCACGTGCCGTAACCCTCGCTGCACATGTGCACCTAGGGTTATAATATTTCACACTTTGGTTTGCCTGGCAAAAACGAATAGCTAAACATTATAGAGACACTGTACGATGCACATGAACAACACTTGTAGATATTGTTTGAGCACAATAAGCATGATGCAAATTGCACACACAAGTTGTGACTGACTTCATCAGGGCTAGAGGCCTGGTAGGATATCTTCCTCGAAGTTGAGGCAGTGTTGCTGTGAAATATCACCACCTCTTCGTCGTCCATCTTAACCTCTCCCTCCTCCTCTCCCTCCTCCCTCTCCTCCACTTCCTCAACAACTGGTGTGACGTTGTGGCAGAGAGCTAGAGCCTTCACACACTCCACCAACTGTTCTCGCTGTGACCGACGAGGCTATATACACATCCGGCAAAAGGAGGGAGGGAGGGAGAAAGCACATTATGATGAACGGGGAGATGAAGACTGTTGTAGTCCCTCACTCGAGATGAGGTAAGAGACGACGGCTGTTTCTGGTCTGAGTCTGACAAAAAGGCCTGTCTAACAGCTGCAGTAACCTGTGTATTCATACAGAATCATGTTTGCATGTAATATGGAGTGTGGTTCACCTCTGTCATGGAGTCTTGACTGAATGAGACAGACCCCATGTGCAACTTTCGAAACACCTGCAGTCAGTCACACAAGCTATAGCACTGAGCAGCATGATACGAACTGACAGTGCACTACTAGAATGTTTATGCTAGCACACTCAAAAGTGCAACATGAGTTGGAAGAAGACTTAAGAAATTGGTGAAACATTATAGAAAGCTGTCAATTATGCACAGACTCACCATTTCATTTTGAGTGAGAGTGCCAGTCTTGTCGGTCAGCAGGTACTCGACTCGACCCAACTCCTCGGGGATGGTACTGCTGCGGACCACGGTTCCCGGGATGGCCCTGTCTCGCTGGATCATCCACGAGTACACCATCTTCCCCATGTCCAGATTAACCCGCAGACTGGTTGGGAAATCATAAAGCTAAATGCCACTGGGCATTATGACAAGGTGTACAGTACAGTAGTCACTGACCTGATGGGTATGATGTATGAGAATAGGATGATGTAGCGGATAAAGTAAATGAACCATACGCCAGTGAAACCCTAGCAAACAGTAAGATTAAGGTATAGCATTTGCTTGCCTGTACTACTTTCGATGTCTAAAGGTTCAAGTCACACACACACACACACACACACTCACGTAAATACCTTCAGTGAAAGGAGAATGAGAGAGAAAAGTATTGTGGCTAGAAACAGGAGTTTTGTGAGTCTGTTGATCTCAAGATCCACCAGTCCAATCTACAGCAGAAGAGTATGAGTATGTGTGAGCCATAACCTGTACAGTATGTACAGTCACTGGGGCAGGGGAGGGGGGAGGGGCAGACCTTGGAACGAGGCGAAGAGGTGTTCATGGAGCTTCTGGTCTCCCTGCCAGTGTACACCACCACTCCTGTAGCTGTCCCTGCGCCAGTATATTTGGAAGTAGTGACATTTTTCACCTCTTAACTCTATGTGTGTACTGTACTATATACAATACTTAGTTGGCAGGAAATTACCCGATGCTAGGACAGTGTTGGCCCACATGGTATTGTCCACAGAGAGAGGATCTTCCTTTGTGTTCTCCCTGCCGTCACTCTAAACACACAGAGCAACAAAAATCAATCTTTAGTCTCTGTGACTCAGTTCTCCAACAGAGTTCAGAGACGGTCATTCTCACCATTGTGAATCTCCCAATAAAGTGGTAGATGTCTTTCTTGGGTTTCTCGGCAAACACAGAGCCTCTGACATTGAACAGACTCTGGCAGTGGGGGAGGAGATGAACAACAATTAGTATTGATGAGAGGGGTTGAGTAATAACACTATGGAGCTTATATATAGGATACATAATATGTCACGGAGGAGAGTTCTAATGAGACGGACACCTCTACCAAGCTGTTTAATTACTGTATATCGATGATCGACAAGCAATATTACTTCTGCTTCTGTCTTGGTTGAAGTTGAGAGATCTTAACTACCAACCATCGAAAACAATTACATTCCGTTTTACTGAATCACAGCCAATTACAATAACATATCGAAGTCGCCAACTTTAGGGCCGCTAGTGTCTTCTGGTGGAGTAGTGTACCTGGTCAGAAGGGAGAGCCTGAGTGGAAGGTACAGCCATCCTCAGTTTCCAGTCTGTCTCTCCGTCCAGCTGGTCAGTCCGAACGAAACACGACCCGTTCTTCTCCGTGGTCTTCAGTAGTACCATGTCTGCAGGTATCCTCTGGTCCTGGAGCAACACAACACACCACACTCACCGGAGCCCACACACAGCACTCCGTCATCTCCAGACAACTCACTACATAGCCTACAACTTTAGCACAGTGCTAAATACAGTACCTTATCCAGGACAATGATATCAGAGACTTGAATGTCCTTACTCTTTACAGATATAGGCCCTGGGGAAAGGGAGAGAGACAGAGTGATATAGCAGTGTATACAGTAGAGGGACCACATCAATGTATGAGTATACCTTTGGCAGTGAGTTTGGTGAACCTTTGGTTGTTGACTTCCATGTCCCTCAGAAACCTCTTAAAGTCGTCCAGCAACTCTCTGATCGTGGTCACCGCCAGAACAAAACCCTGTGGGCAGGCAGGAGACAGAGAATTATGATAGCCTTCTGGAGGTGCAGCATATAGCTGACGGACCAGTGGACCCCAGTATGTGTACAGGAATCCAATCCTGAGGGTTGGGATGAACTGAGTGAGGGCTATCACCAGGAAGTACAGGTTGAGGAAAAACCTGAACTGCTGGAAGAGAACCTGGGTGGGAGTGAAGTATAAACTTCATCCATGAGCCAAGTTGTATGTGTGGGTATGGGTGCGGGGGTTCCTACCAATGGAAGAAATGTGACCACATTGAACTTTTGGTTGCAGATTCTGTTGGAGGGGAACTGTTGCCGCATATCCTGCAATATATATGTAGCGTGAGGATGACACTATATATAGTGTCTTGGAGAACTCACAGGATGGCCCAGAGAAATGGACCTACTCTTCAACGCTCTCCTACAGGAGCACGCCTTCATAACCGTGGTGAAGAAACTACTCGAGAGAGAGAGAGAGAAATACATAGATGGAGAGAGAGTCGGGTGTTTGTTCCTAGCCGAGAGAATTCTAAAGTGTAATTACACACTCATGGGCATACGTGTGTGGGTGTTTGTGTGTTTACAAAATCTCTGTGATTCATATCAGGTTTACACCGTTTTCTGCTAAACCTGTGCACCAGTGTGCATCAATTGGAGTGTGTACTAACAGCTAACGGCTTCAAATGCATGTACATTTCATAGACTTGGTGTTAGGGTATTACAGAGGATGTGGTGCTTACTTGCTGAGTAGGAGCTGCCATCCCTGGTCAAAGAACCAGCTAATGAGACCAGACTGAGTCCTGATCCTCTGCTGCCACCTCCTCCTCCCAGTCCCCGAGGACCCCTCCGGTAGGTCCTCCTCCTCCTCCCCACTGCTCTCTTCCCCTCCTCCCACGTGCACCGGACTCATAAGAGGCACCTCGTCACTAGTGTCGTGTGAGTCAAGACTGGTGTAGCGGTGTAGAGCACGCCCTCTGCCACGCCCTCGAGAACCCATGTTACCCCCGCGACTCAATGACGATAGACTCAGTGACGGGAGATCCTCCATACCCTTATACCCTTCAGACAGGTCAGTTAAAGAGTAATTTTACTACCATAACTAGATATAAAGACATGTACGTACAGATCTATAGAAGTACTGGAACTGTGGAAAGTATTCACTTGGTTATAAATCCTTAGCCTACAGTGGGGTTCGAGCTAACTTTGCTTCTTACTACAGCCCTAGGAGTACTCACCTTATATAGAGAATATATTTTATCTTTTTCAGCACCTACAGAACACCAAAGAGCCACGAAAACGCCCAGGGCGGAGAGGCTCCTCGTCGTTTCAGAGAGAGTGATCTTTAATTAGAAAATGCTGACTCATTCAGCCAAACCCCGCCCATCAACTCCAAATAACGCTCACCAGAACTCTGGGAGAGATGTCTTCGCGGGCCTTCCGGAGGCTGAATCGCGACGCAGACGTGATAAGGATATCTGAAAATGCAGAGGAAGGAAAGGAACTAGAAGAAGAACCCGAGTTCATCAGTGTGGCTTGCAAAAAGAAAACTCCTGCTGCCAATCCATTTGCTTTGGTTTGTCACGTGGCTTACTCTCACTTTCTTGCGTTATATACAGAATGCCCCAACACCTTACCGTACAGTTGAATGAGAGTGATGATGCTGAGGATGAGAGTGAAGATAAGGAGGAAGAACTGAATACCTTGCCTTCAAAGGTGAGCAATACAATCCATGCCCAGTGGATAGCCCTAGCCCAACAAACTTGATGCATTCTCCTACGACAATAACGGAACCAGCGGCTATGTATAATTTGGCTGGCCTAAGTTGGTGATGGTGGGGTAGTGTGACATTTTACCTACGTGTCGCAAAAGTATTATGTGGCGTAAAATATCTTGGAGACTGTGTTATACACTGTTCTGTATGTCTTTTAGCGATGCATGCTTACCGCATGCACTGTTTGTTTCATGGAGGCACCAGTGAATTACTAGCCTAATGTATTTGTGGTTGTCTTATGTGTGAAGGTGGCCAAGAAGCCTAGAAAGAAGAAGAAGAGGAGAAAAGCCAGAGTGGCCAAGGAGGAGCCAGAGCCAGAGCCTCGAGGTATGATACTATTACATCACCGAAATGAAACCCCACAGAAGGCCTAAGTCAGCAATGACATCGTTGGTTCTAGACTCTGACCAGGAGAGTGGGGATGAGGTGGACGTGGCAGTGAGGGAGGTCAATAAGCTGCTGGGGGAGGTGGGAAAGGAGAGAAGAGGGGAGAGGGAGGAAGGAGAAGGGGAGGGAGAAGAGACTGAGTCATCTCCTGTTCCTCACTCTCTGCTCAAGGTGGACAGAAGGTACAGTACTTATACATGGGGACTTTGTTACCAGTGGCTGGCACAGTGTGTGATGGGGAAGAGGAGAAATTATACGTTTTGTGTATACCAATTGGTAGGCTTGCTCTGCTCATGCAAATCTCAAAGGCAAAAAACCACAATTACACTGAGGACAACTCCTGAAATAAGAGCTGCTCTGGGTGGGATTCAAACCCCATGTAGTTTAGATAGAGCGCTCTGTGGTTGAATCTCTACGTATAGGTTAGACGCTGAGCTGCGGGAACTACGCGATTTAGTGAGCCGAGGAGCCTTGAGCTGTCGGCGTCCCGAGCGCAGCGAGGGCGCTACTAAGGGCTCCGAGGCTCACTAAATCACGTAGTTTCCCAAGGCGACGCGTCTAACCGGCTTAGACTACAGCGCAAGTCCGTCCCGCTGCTGTAGGCGTTGCTGCCCTTCGGGATCGCGCCGGCCAGTCGTTTGTATGCGTTTTTCCCTGTACGCTTTCTCTAGCGTCTTCCTAGCTCTCTAGTAGTCATGTGCTGCTGCTAGAAAGGCCTGTTCCTGGTTTCTTCGTGGGAAGAACCGCTCCAGAAGCTCGGTTCACCGTCCGCGCGCGTGGCGTCTTTTCGAATTGAAGGCGTGGTTGCCGGGGCTACGAATAGTTACCGCGGAAGAGGTCACTAACAAAAATAGTCACCGCTAAACTCGCAATCTGATTGGTCAATTGCGTGTTACCGTAGTCTAAATTATAGCATATAGCCAAAGATTCGTGGCTAAGTAAAGACGAGAAGGTGTTTGTCTTTTTCACTGCATTAGATTTCTCAATGCTGAAAATGAGATGAGGAGGATATTTGGTTCTAAAGTTGTCAGAGGAGACCAAGTGTAAGAGTTTCTCTGTACCTACTGACCACTGCTTGCAAGACTTGGTTAAAATCTACAGGCGGCAAAAGGCCCATCGTAAGGTCCACCTCAGACCAACAGTGTGAGGAAGATATAAATAGTGGTGAATAGATGCGCGTGACTTTTCTCTTCCTAACAGATTGGCCACTCCCAAAGATACTTGGCCAAAGATTGAAAAACTTGGTGAGTCCATTGTCAATATATACTTTTACACACTGTACAACATGCAAGCTTGGGCAGTACTCTAGTATACATTCCTATGTCTATCCTCTTGGGTAGTGTAGCCCTTCTGGCAAAAGTTTTCGTACTTTAGGAAGCAAATGGTAGGAAGGAAAAGCAAACTAATCATCTTGAAAGCCTTGACTATGGCTGAAAAGTGCAGTGCAATTGCCTCTCAGGAATGAAGGTGGCCAAAAAATTTCGTACTTTTAACAAGTAAGAGGGGGGAAGAACAAGTCAACCAAAGGTCTTAGATTTTTTGACTACCACTGGAGGGTGCATTGCAAGTCACCCTCAGAGGTGACTGGAGGTGACTGGCCAAAGGCAGAGTTGCTGCACAGTGAGCTAGGGTCATTGTCCTTGTGTCTGTATGTATATGTGACTGATGGACATATGTTGTTCCTTTCTCTGCCAAAGCATTGATACAGTTATCTCATAGCTTAGTGACCGGCTTAACTTGGTCTGTGTGTGCATTACCATTGGAAGGACCAACATCGCTAGTAGTGAGTATCAATATTATATCCAACTAACCAAATGCAAGTAAAATCATGACCATGCCCTGAAAAGCTGTACTTTCTCGTGTCCAGTATCCAATTGTATATACGCATGTATGACTAGTCATTTGGCAAATACTGCTACGATGCCACTCTGGCTGGGCCCCTCTCTGTGTGACTGTGCTGTAGGTCTGACAATGCAGCAGGATGGAGTGAGGGACTGGTGCCAATACTTTCATTTCGAGCACTCCCCAGCCTACCAGAAGATCCAGCTGAGGTTCTGGGAGGCCGTAGACACCTTTGACCCAAACTCCATTGCTGTTAGTAACACACAGCTTAGTTTGCAACAAGAGTAACTGTGTGCACATACCGTTTTGGGGAATTTGGCATTTCAATCATAAAGCTCAGAGACTGATTATTCACTAGAACTGTGACTATAGTACATCGTACATTGTTTTTGGAAGTTTACAACACTAAACTATGACTGTTTCCCCTTATACAGTAGGATGTTTGTATTACAAGTTCTGTTAACACTCTTCTCCCTCCCACCCCTCCCCCTCCCCCTGACCCACACTTCAGGCAATACTCCACGCTCATCCCTACCACGTTGACTCTCTTCTGCAAATGAGTGAAGTCTCACGGCTCGGGGAGGACATCCAGATGGCTTCTGAGCTCATTGGTTGGTCCTATATATACATAACCCTTTCTATTGCGATGATCGTGTGTGTACAAAGTATTGTTGGTGTTTCATTGTTTGTTTCTCAGAGAGAGCTCTGTGTAGTTTTGAGTCCAGTTTCCACACGCTCTTCAACTATACGCAGGCCAACTGCCGTCTCGACTACTCCAGAGCTGAAAACAGGTATATATGACAAACCTGCCATGACTGTTTGAAATCTTTTGGTTGTGCTAAGATTATGTCCCACGCACCGTTTGTGTACTCCAGGTCGTTCTTTCTCACTCTCTTCCGTCATCTGAGCTATATCAGCAGAAGAGGTATGTATAATGTACCATATACTGTAGACACACACTACTGTTGTCGGTAATAATGAATGCCACGTCATATGTACTAATTTCTCTGTGTCCCATGACAGGATGTCACCGTACTGCACTGGAATTCTGCAAATTGTTGCTGGCGTAAGCTGTTTACACTGTATCTATGTGTTTTTGTCGTAATGTTTTCCCTTGAGAGATGTGACGTACTGAAAGTCAATAATAGTGACGTGTTTACTGTGCGTAAAACAGCAAGAAAATTATTCAGTGCACTATGTCAAACATTCTGTGTATGTACTAACACACACACACACACACACACGCACACACACACACACACACACCCCACAGTCTCAATCCAGAGAAGGACCCTCTGTGTGCCCTCCTCATCATTGACTACTGTGCAGTGAGAGGCGGAGAGTATCGATTCCTCATCGACCTCTTCCATGCTTGGGAGGTCAGCCTAACAACACATTGTCACTCTGATGTTTGTCACTCTTCTTCGGTGTTGCATTCTACTTCTTTTTCCTCATGTAGCCACACAGGAACCTATCACAGCTACCCAACTTTGCCTTCTCTGTCCCCCTGGCCATGTTCCACAGCCAGAACAGGGAGGAGAAGGAGGGAGAGGGTGGCGGAGAGACGGAGGCCAATAAGAGACTTCAAGATGCTCTGCTAATGTTCCCCTGTGTGAGTATATTATAGTCAGACACCTTGGCAGAAAACTCCAGTGAACATGTTTCCAGCTAAAAGAGGCAAAAGCATAGCAAAACCAAGTATACACACATGGAGTACATTTCTCCCCACACAGCTCCTCCCTATCCTGCTAGACAAGTGTGGTGTCACGCTGGACCCTGCTGTCACGAGTCACTCATTGTTCACACAACCCATTGAGAGGTATTACATAGAGTTACCCTACTACAGTTACTAGTGGACACTCTCCTTATGGAGCACGAATTGTGTGGCCAGTGCCAGTAGACATGAGTATTGGATGATTGTGTCTGACAAATAGGGGGTGTCATGTGGTCATTCCTCACCTAATAAGCTCCCTGCTGATCAGGCTATGTTATGACAGTTAGAGTATACTGTGCCATAGCACAGTGGTTTGGGGTTTGCCTTGTGTTGCTGTGTTGTGTTGTAGATTGGAACCCCTACCAGCTGGTAGCTCAGTTGGTAGAGCGCTCGCCTCGACTGATGGATTCGAATCCCACCCAGGGCAGCTTTTCTTAAAAGAAGAGCTGTCCTGGGTGTAGTTGATGTGTTTGCCTTGCCTTGCCTTTCTACCTCGTTACCAAGTTGTTAAGACATACATGTACGATACTGTAATGTACAATGGTTGTACAATCGGTATTATTACACTGTGTGTGTTCTGTAGGGAGCCAAACGGCCTAAAACTACTCATGAAGCTCTATGTTGAGAGGAGCCACTCTCTATGGAAAGAGCCAGAGGTTGTTATAGTAATAATGCATGCACAAGATAGTGAAACTGCTCTTTACATTGCTTGTCAGAATTGGGGTTATGAAAAAACATTATCAACATGTTTTCGGGGTAGGTGTAAGCAATGCTGTTTTGTTTAGGCACTCCCCTGGTGGTGGTTTCGAATTCTCTTTTCTCCGTCCTGATAGTATCTGTTGTTAGTTTCCTGCTCTTTTCCACATGTTTATCAGGTGCTGACGTGGCTAGAGGCTAACTGTAGAGTGGCAGTGGCCAGGGCTAACGACAAAGACCCTCTAAATACAGACTTCAGGGCCAAGTAAGTGTGGAACATCTGCTCTTGTTTTAGTCCCTAATGTTCACTAGACATTACTTTGTTATGTTGGGTAGTTCACATGTACCTGGTAATCTCCATTTTATTCCCCACTAACTGCATTCATGTTGAGCAGTTTTGAGTGCTCCACTACCTGGTAATAATATATTCCCCCACTGTAACTCCCCTGAGTGAATAATGTTAACATGTAATGACACATAGGATTGGTAGAGGAAAGTAGCTGTGCAAAGAGTATGGTGTGGTTGTTGTGGAGATGTGTGTGTATGTTCTCCCTCCATGCAGAGCAGTCAAGCGCTACAGTAGAGTCCCAAGGAACATCTATCGCCACATTCTCATCTCTGATCTGGACCGTGTCGTGTCTGCCCTCCCACCTGTGAGATATGTACATTGTGTGTATAAACCTATTAGGAGCAATCCTGTATGTACCTTAAATACATGAATGTCTACCGAATTTCTACGGTAAAAAGATGAATTTGCAATCTCCAAAAGTGCCCGGGTTTCAGTTCCAGAGCCTTTCAAAACCTGCCAAAGTACCAAAATTGCCTAATTCTTTAGGGACAACACTGACAACTGAGACTAATTGCTTCGTTCCACTCTCCTCTGCCCATCCTCTAGGATATGACCCAGACCTCTATAAACTCCTATGACCCTCTACCGCCTCCTGACTCAACTTGTGGCTATGAAAGACCACAGATACAACGGTGAGCACCAAGTATTTCCACAATAACTGCATACAGTGTGTACACATGAGGCAACAGTGATACCTGAGATGGCAATGGTGGTATATATGTGAAGAGTGATTGTATTGCCTGTGTAGGGGCCCAGGAGCAGGTGATGTTGCTGAGAATCCACTTCTTTTGCTCTTGAGATCTCTTCTCCCCAACTACAACCACATGGTACATACATCTTAGTTTTTACTTTGACATAATAGGAAGTGTGTGTAGATTATGACCAAGTATATACAGTGGAAACTTCAAATTCAAAAAATGGACACATAGGGACCAGGCGTGTTATATAGGTAGGTTGTCCTCCCTTTGGAGGTATACTAGAAAAGTTTAACGCTAGGGATCTCAAAGTGTGTCCTTTATTAATTTTAGAGGTTTTCTATATAAATTATTGTGTCCCTAATTTGGAGTGTCCTTCATCTGAGGTGCTATATACTTTATCTTTATTTTGGCCAAGGCTGAGGGTGGCAGGCAGCAGGGAGGAGGAGGAGGAGGAGGAGTAGGGATTGGTGCCATGATCCACAGACACGTTGACAGAGTGAGGCAGTACTACGAGGACTACTACGCCCAGCACGAGGGAGAGGAGAACGTCCCTCCGCCTCCTCCACCTCCTCCAGCAGACCTGCGGAGAGAGAGAATGAGGGAGCTCCTGGGGGGGTTGGATGACGTCCACCAAGATCTGATGGCGGCCCTCAGGAACATTGTCGGTGGACTTGCTGCACCCAATGAACACAGTGACAGTAGTAGCTCAGATGCATAATGGTGGCCTGGTTGTTAGCTATTATAAAGTGTGGCTATATACCAATCCTGCAATAATATTTCTCCTTTTCATCCTGACTTGTGTTCTATGTTTGTGCACACCACCTCCCCAGGGCGTGTTATTACGTCACGCACACAACTAGCTGCGCATGCGTGCAGGCGGGAGGTTGCGTAGATATAGAAAGGCGACTGAGCGTGCCCGGAGCAAATGCCACGCAGTCGGGTATTATTATAGTGCGTGTGCAGCGCTCGGCGCCCCGCCGCCGCGTGGCCGTGGACGACGTGTCATGTCATGTCACAAAGTGTGGGCGATCCCGCGCCCCGCCGAAAAGCCACCGCGCGTATAAAACCCGCATCATTATACCAGGGCAGCAAGTGCAGAATATCCTACCACCCCTGGGATCAGATTCGCCAGTTTTAAGGTATAATAATACATACGTTATTCTGTGTGGCCTACCTAGGTGTAGGGCATGCTATTCCCTGTGTAGTTTGTACCCCAGCTAGCTATACCGCTGGTCTTCACTACATGTGTAACGCCTGTCTCTAGCATTATTGGCCGAAATAAGATGGTATAGAGTGAGCGACAAATCGGCCCGGAACCAATCGGTTATGATTTACCACATAACCGTCCCGGGCTTGCTAAACACATTCATAATTATTGTATCAGCAGATCAGCCAATTCTTTCGGGACTTCCATCTCTTTTGTGTGCAGTGCAGCGTACCTACTTGTGTAATGTCGTTGATGCTGTAGCTAGCTATAGTCGTAACCCAAGGGCACCGCAGCTTGGCGCTCAAAGTCAAGTGCATATTTTTTATGCGACGGGTGCGCAAAAGAGTGGGTGATGCCCGTCGTTTTAAAAATGGGGGCAGCATGCATTAGCTAAGAGAAAAGGGGTATCCCGGTATCCACGCTTTCTCCTCGTATTAGCTAAGTGGCCACGCGGGCGCTCGCCCACAGCGGCGCGTACTACAGAGCGTATCCGAGGAAAAGGGGCCATTCGTCGTAGCTAGGTTTCGCGAAAAACACCGTTAGTTATGGCAGGACAAAGCTTGTTCAATGAAAAGCACTGAAGTGCAAACCCTCGGCGAACTGTGACGCACAATCGTAAGTAAACGCATGCGCAGTACCACTAATTGATGGGCTGGGTTTAGCTTTAGCTGTTACTCGTGGTCTCTTGCCAGCTCACGCAGAGTCTGACGCGGTCTAACTACACTACTAGATAGCATTGGAGAGGCGATACACGCCCTGCGTTGCATCTTCTGGTGACTCCGAGGTACGCAGAGCACGCGGGTCGATCATGCCGTAGTAAGCCGTTGTGTATTTGCATATTCGCGCTCTAGCTTTGCAACGGAGCGTTTTCAGAGAAAACCGTTCGAGATTTCTGACCTTCATTGCCCGTTCAGTAGGTGGTATCCTTTGTGAGACGAACAAACACCCGAGAAGTGAGATTTAGAGTAACAGACACACAGACACACAGACCCAAGTACGCGCGCCGAGGGTTAACGAGTGCATGCACCCTACCACTGTTTTGGTCTTTGTTGCATGAGTAGGTATATACCCTCGACGCGCGACGGTTGTGTATACAACGTTTACCCAGCCAAAAAGTGATACTAACGGATTCAGTGCTACACTATCTTGATTTTACATTTGGCAACTTTAAATACTCTGTTCAAAAGTTGTAGAGTGAAAAGCAAGTGAACAAGCTAAAATGTAAATTTTACCACTTGCAACTGCATTCCCTCTGCGTGCATATAATTATAGTGTGTGGGGGTTACAGAACATACGCAGCGGAGGGCGTCTGTCGAGTCTCGCAATGCCTACATAAATTGGTATCTACCCATGTGTCACACTCTCAGAAAGCTAGCGAGAGACCACGATAGTGTAGCCCAGTCCATCAGTTCTGATTTGTGCAATGCTATAATATACACATGCATTTCAAGTGCACCGGGGTTTGCACTTTTAGCGTATGAGCGCCTGAATTTTGGTCATTATTATTACTGGTGGACTATTTTCCCAGGCTGCTGTCATGAGCTGGCAGGGTGGTAATACACCTCACCAACGTGGAGGAGCCCACAACAGATATCCAGTTCCTCCCCACAACAGATATCCAGTTCCTCCCTACAACAGATATCCAGTTCCTCCCCACAACAGATATCCAGTTCCTCCCTACAACAGATATCCAGTTCCTCCCTACAACAGATATCCAGTTCCTCCCCACAACAGATATCCAGTTCCTCCCCACAACAGACATCGACAGGAAGAAAGGAATACACGACACCAAGGAGGAAACACTTCTCACAAAACTGGGTCTGGAGGAGCTACCTCAACATGTAGGTTCCTTAGAAAAGATGATGTAATGGAATTGGCAGCGGGCACTCCTGAAAAAGTTGTAGAAACGTTTGTTCAGAACAAAACTGGTCTCTTAAATGCTTTTAGCTACAGTGAATTCTGCAGCAATCCTCGAATCCTCAAAGCATTGATCAAGATAATTTACTTATTGACCAAAAGCGAAGAGAATCATTTAGCCTCTATTGTCTTAAGTAAGATTTATAGCCCAGATGGTGAATATGCCCAGTTTTGCTTTCAGGTTGACCTACTTATTAAAAAGATGCCAAGAGAGGAGAGGTATATGTCAGAAAATATTAATTATCTCCATTATCTCATTGATATTGGGCTCTTTGGCATCCATAGAATTCCAACAATTTTACTTGAAACCTTCCCCCAAGCTACAATTTCTGGCACAATTAAAGCACTCTGTCCTAGTAGCAATATTCAACTGCTGGAAACGAAATGTGCAGAGCTTGGGCATCAGTTAGACTTAGCACATGAGCAATCACAGTCTCAACCGACTAACCCAGAGAAATCTGCTCCGGACGAGGATGATTGGGAGCCTCCCGAGCATTTTACTGAAATCCCCATTCTTCCTCAAAACGAGGATCTGGCGAGAGATCGCAAGCCATTCCTGCGATCCAACAAGGTAAGGGGTCCATACAAGGGGTGGGACCACTACCTTGATGTCCAGTTTCGTCTCTTAAGGGAAGACTTCATCGCCCCACTGCGTGAAGCAATCGACGGTGCATTTTCTGAATCTCGACCACCTGGAATCCGCATGTATGAGCATGTGCATGTCCTAGCTCCTGTGTGTCTCCTTTCTGGAATGGGGTTTGAGATCTCATTTGATACAACCCCTTTCCAGCATACAAGTTGGGAGCATTCCCGGAGGCTAATATTTGGTTCTTTGCTTTGCCTCTCAAATAAGGATTTTAGGGAAGGTACAATTATTTTTGCAACAGTGGTTAGACGAGATGCACAGCTGTTGGAATGTGGGCATATTACAGTAAAGTTTGAAGGAAATGCTAGTGGATTTGAAATAGACCCTAATGATGAGTATACAATGGTTGAATCAACAGCATACTTTGAAGCATATCGACACGTTCTCCTTGCCCTTCAGCATGCCTCATCATTGAAGGGTCTTATGCCTTTTAAACGTTGCATTGTAGACTGCCAACTCCATGATCCTCAGCCACCCCGATACATTGGTAAATATTATAATGCACCTTGCTTTAACCTTACAAAGGTTCTAGAGTGCAAAGAAGCAAACAGTATAAAAGTTACCGACGAGACAACATGGCCTCATTACAAGAGCTCTTGTTTGGATCAATCGCAGTATGAGGCATTAAAAATGGCAATGTGTCAGGAGGTCAGTTGTATTCAAGGACCACCTGGTACAGGGAAGACGTTTATTGGCTTGAAACTTGTCCAGGCATTCCTGCAAAACCGCCGAAGCTGGGACACACTGAGAATTTCTCCAATTTTGTTAGTGTGCTACACAAACCATGCACTTGACCAGTTTTTAGAGGAAATTATAGCTTCTTCCAAAGACATGCCTTCTCCAGACATCGTTCGAATTGGAGGTAGGTGCAAGAGTTACAAGCTGGAAGACTTTGTCTTAGCGAACCGGATCAGTGATATTCGCAGCAGTAAATCCTTACCCCAAGACATGCACCAGAGAAGTAGAGATTTACGAAATGGTATGGATGATTACAAAGACCGTTTTCATGATTTACAGGAACAAATAAATTCAGCAGAACGCAATGTTATTCCCTTATCGACATTGAAGTATGTTATACCTAGTGAGCACTTCTTCCAGTTGTCCCAAGGTATGCCAACTGGGTCAGGGAAGGAAATAGAGGTATGGCTAAATCTCTGGAAACCCACAGAATGTGACGAGACTGATGAAATTGATAAATATGAACAAGCTGCAAGTTTTCAACAGTTTCAAGATGAGGAGCCAGTAGCACAAGAAGAAAGCAACTCAGAAGATGAACCGGTGGCTGTTGACGAGGAGGCAAAAATCATACAAGAGGAAAGAATCATGGAAGGGGAAGTGTTTTTCGATTATAAATTTGCTCCTCGTGCAAAGCATCCAAAGCCAAAACAGAAAACGAGACCAGGGGAGTGGCAGACTGTCCAAATAAGTGAAAAAGAAAGAAGGAAGAGGATCAAGAAAGGGTTTGAGTACCCAACCATGAAAAAGAATAATGCAGAAGAAGTTGAGGACCTACGCTTTTTAAGTCTTAAACAACGCTGGCAAATGTATCATTACTGGGTTGAAGAACATCTGAGAGTACAGAAGCGGCAATTAGAACGTCCTGCTATAATCTACAATAGAATATGCCATGACTACTCCCAAATAAAAAATGAAATAGATTGTTATGCAACCAGAGGGGCTGAGATTATTGGAATGACCACTACTGGAGCAGCCAAATACCACCACATTCTAAAAGATATTCACCCAAAGATTGTGATCATCGAAGAAGCTGCTGAAGTCTTTGAGTCTCATGTTATAACCTCCTTACCTCCCTCTGTGCAGCAACTCATCCTCATAGGAGACCACAAACAGCTTCGACCCAAACCAAACCACTATGAACTTGAAAAGAAGTATAATCTTGACATCTCCCTTTTTCAGAGGCTCATAGAGAATGGTATTCCTCATGTTACCTTAACAGTCCAGCACAGAATGAGGCCAGATATTGCCTCACTAATACATCCAGCTATCTACCCTGAGCTACAAAACGGACCACGAGC